GGAGCTGTGGAGGCCGGCGGAAGGTAGGCGGCAGAGAGGCCTGGATCTTCTCCATCAGCCAGCACAAGGGACTTTGAGCCCTCAGGCCCTCCCAGGCTGTCTCCAGCTCTGCCCTTTCTGGCCGTAGAGCTGGGGTCGCCCTGGGCAGCCTTCCTTGGCCACCAGGGTGGACCTTCTTCTGTGCCATCCCTCAGACCCAAGGAGCAAACTCTGGCCACAGCTTGGACTGGACTGAGACCTGGAGCCCTTCCCTGGGTGGCATGGAGCCAGGCTTGGTGGCAGGGTGGGTGTGGCCATACCCGTGGTGTTCCAGCTGGGGGCCGAGCGGTCTGGGGGCCGGTAGATGAAGCGTCGTAGGGAGCTGACGGCATGGGAGCCCACCAGTGTGTAGCGACCGAAGGCCCGGCAGTCCACCACGCGGATGTTCAAGGGCGGGTGCAGCAGCTCGTTCTCTGGGAGGTCCTGGGGTGTTGGTGACAGGAGCCTGAGCCTCCGAGAAGGGGCAGAGGAAGCCGGCTGGCTGAGTGGAGCCACACTGGCCACAGGACGTCCTCCGCCGGGGCCTGCACTCACCACTTCAAACCACTTGACGAGGGTGTTGAAGTTGGGGTTCTTCTTATAATTGTGGATCAGGGATGACTGCACCCCCTTCCCTGCACACTCGATGTCCACCCGTGGCCGGTCCACCTGGGCCAGGTTCACCCGCTTTAAGTCCCGTAGGCCCCAGAACAGCACCTGGGAGAGGTTGACGGGCGTGCAGAGAAGAGAGCCCCTTAGTCAAGGGAGCCTCTGTAGGGGCGCTGGACCATCCGAGAAGGAACTGGGCAGTAGCATGGGCAGAAGTTCACCCCAGATTTCAAAGGGCCGGAGCAGGGCCAGGAGAGCAGAGGAGGGGCATCCTCCAGAGATGAGAGTGGGGCTGCCCAGAGAAGGGGTGCAGAGTCAGGGGTGCAGACAGGAGGGCTGGGCACGGTCCTGGGACATGGGAGTGCGACTTGGTGCAGACGGGGGCAGGCCCTGGGCTGGGGCAGGAGCCTGAGTCTGCTGCTGGCTCCTGGTGATGGTGATGGGAGGGGGATGAGAAACCACTTCCCCTCCTGGGCCCTCAGTTTCCTCATCTGAAAGAGAAAGGCCACACAGGGCCCTCGCACCTCCACTC